AGGAGGTTTGCTGCTGACCACTTCTTCAGATCAAATGTCCACAAAGGCTCTTCTAAGTTCTCAGGAAACTCTCTTCTTTACTTAAGGTTTGAACACCAGAGAACAACTGAACACATTTTCTATTACATCAACAGGTCACTCTTAAAAACCATTCTAAACGAGGTTCAACCCTGATAGAATTCCTTTGAATTATGACTTCTGGAGGGAAACAGATAAATAATTGGTCCTATTACTTCCCAGTTGAACAGTTAGGTAAGTTTGAATAGCTGCATTATTAGATCTTTAAAATTTTTTACCTCTAAGTATATAATATGGATATGTAACATAAGCCCAAAAAAAGAATGTTGCCCATTTTGAAAAGTGTCAGTATAGTGCCACATTATTTATTTTACTTTTCAGATCGAAGTTGAAATAGGTACTCAAGTTGCCATCTTTATCAACTCTTTTGATGGGAACAAGGTGCTCTGTCCACATATGAACAGTAGAGAAGAGCTGGGTGTGAGGAGACGCCATGAGTGTGATTTACCAAGATGTGCACAAAAGCACCAGGGTGGATAAAAGATTTGGTCATTATACCTCACTGGGGGTTTATTAAGACTCAGTTTCCTCCATACACCAGGCTTATCTCGGTTGAGGTTGCCCCAAATTCAGACTAGCTTCATGTAGTGTCAGTGGTATAGTGGTGAGCATAGCTACCTTCCAGACTAGCTTCATGTGCCTACCCTTTTTAAAGTATCTGAAAATTGTTATCAGTTTTTCTCTCGCATTACTATTACTTTCACTAGAAAGAGAAACAAATCTTAAAAGCATTTTTTTAAAGCATGATTGTGAGAGGGCAACACTGAATGGTTACCATATGCCCATCTCTATGCTGTTATTTCATTATTGGGAAAAAAAAAAAACACAAGACCTTATGAGGTAGGAATTGTTTCCATTTTCCAGTTGAATAAACAGGGTCACAGGCTGGCTAAGTAATTTTCTTAAGGCCACACAGTAGGCAAAGTTCATCCAAACCCAGGCTAAGACCACAGCCTGTGCCAACTTCTCTGAGTTGCGTTACACCAATTTCATTCTCCCCATCTTAAAGTATTTTCCAGAATTCCACAAGTTGTGAAAAATGATACTTAATCTAAAATGGCTTTTGGTTTACATTTGTTTACTCTTCTTGCATATACGCAATAGATGCTGGCAGTATCTAGCATATTTATTTATTCTTTAATTCTTCCATACTCATGCTATATAATGTTTGTTTTATAGTTTTGCCTAACTTTTCTCTTCGGAACACACAAATGATTTTTAATACAGTAAAAAATACTTCTGCCATTTCAGGATTATCTATCATTTGCTTTCATTGTGGATCAAACAGAATGGAATGCTCTTTAGTCACAGTTTACTCAAAGGTGAGAGGAGGGACCACATGTAATTTCTAGCCCTGTTTCTTCACCATTAAAGGATATGCCTGCATTTGGTTTTATGTCATCTACGAATAATCTTTTCTTACTCACTTTTTTGATCTTCATGTACTAAGCCCTCTGATGCAAAAGGAGAGCCAGGCTTTTCAGAAACCCCCAGTTCCATGGTCCACACTGAACCATGAATTTAATCAATTCAGTGGCTATCAGAGAAGGATTTTCACTTAACCTGATGGGAGTTTCAACTTAAACAATGCATTACTTGAAAAGAAAAGAGTTTTGGTTGTCAGCTAAGACCATGTGGTACAGCCAGGATGTAAAACACAGTGACTGACCGAGACTTGTTAACAATTTATAAAATACTGTGGGTGCTACATGTTGCAAAGGCAGAGGCTTTGTTTCAGGCTCGCTGTAGCACCTAGCGCTGTGGAGAATACCAACGTTTGAGGTCAATACGTCACTGTCATGGAAGGAGTTGCAGAGTGAACAGTGCCTAAAGTGAGCGACAATGCAGTACGATGCTCTCTTTTTCTCTTCCCATCATGGCGGGGATTATTTCTCAAACTTTGCACAGGTGGAATGCCAGGTCTGTTACTTCCAAAGGCATTACAAGCTCTTTTTCTGTTAAGAAAGGCAAGACCTCCCCCCTCATAAGTTATGCAACAGGAGCAAAAAGAGGTTCCAAAACAACTGTACATCACACTGGGAGCCAGTGAAGGAGAGAAGTGAGAGCAGGTGCTCAGCTGCCTGGTGAATGGCCCATTTAAAAATTCAACAATAGTCAGAGGGGCGCAGAGAACGCAAGAGTCACCACCGTGTTTGGGGAAATGGGCACTTCTCGATTCAGTGTAAACTCATTCCCTGAAAGAAGGCACGCTGTAAACCAGCTTTCCATAAACCTAGTGCATCATTCACCCTCCACAATAGTATTTTAAAAGCATTCTCTTCAGGAAAAACTCATGGAAAGGACTACTCAAGCAACAAATATTAGTCCTTCAATTTCGTATGTCCCTATGAGATATTAATTATCAGCTATAGATGAAATAGGCAAAAGCAGCTTTAACACGGCAGAACCAACTAATTATCTTTCATAACTCCCTTGAAAAGCAAATGCAGATATAAAAGCTCAAGTGAAAAACATGTTAAGCGCATTGTGCCCAGACTTTGCCAAGAAAATAAGGAAATTTAAGTGCACAAAAGGAAAAGATTTTACTAAACCAGAATTTCAAGTCTATGTAAAAAAAATTCACCTCATATTTTGATGTATCTTGTCATTAGCATTTTATATTTATACAATCAGCTTTAGGGTGAATGTTGCTAGATATTAAAGACGTACATGCATCCTACATGGTAAATAGCACCAACATAGCAAAATTATACAAATGAAAAATGCTTTTCAGGCATTCTTCCCTTAACATTTCTGTAAACTGTACCATAAGCAGACTATTAGAAAGCAGATCAAACACACAAGGATATTTTCACTACACCAGCAGAAAACCTTAGAAATGGTGAGGCAAGGCAGCAGTAAATGAGGTACAGATGATTATTGGGCTCTATGAGACAAGGGACGCAGCAAAACATAGAGCAGGAAAATATGAGGAGAAAAAATCCAGGCCTGTCTGTACAATAGATGCAGATTTTTTCAAATGTAAATTTTAAAGTGAATGCTGCTTTTATGTCACTGCATAAAGGAAAGCATAACAAGGCTGCTCTGCTTCCCTTTAAGCACAAGCGCATAAAGAGAGTAAGGGATGTGAAAAGCCAATTCTTTGTGCTGCTACTTAATCAATTGCACTCAGTTCTACTCGACGACACAGCCGCACTGCAACGACCACTCAGCAGTTAATGGATATGATGTTGGAAAAGCACTTTGAGGTCTTCCAAAGCAAGGTAGGGGAAAACCCCAAAGGAGCATGGTTTTACTACTTATTCCCAATAACTGAGCAGCATTATACCCGAAACTCCCATGACCTGAAAAGAAATTAAGATATTCATTTATTTTTCTAATTCTGATTCTTCCATATGAAATCACTTCTTTCAAAAGCTTCAAATCAGAGTCGAGTTATCCTGTGTCTTAGTCTGGGCTTGTCAGGATAACCGTTACATGCTGTAAGGAATAAATATGTGCTTCAAGCGTTACAGCCTACGTTTACAATCTGTCAAAATGTAGAGCTGAGGAGGAGTTATGTGTTTTTAACTGTATACATCCATCACTAGCTATCACTCTTCCCACAGACAGCAAAAAGTCAACAATGAAACATAAAAGCTAAAAATAAGTGAGAGCAATTGCTCAGAAGAGCTGCACATGGGGCTCAGTGTTACATGTACACGCATTCCTTCCCTTTTCTTATTACTGCCAATTTAAAGTAATTGAAATTAAGGGCTCAGATCTAGGAAAATAAACATGCACTGCACAAAAATGTAAAAGTCAGTCAGAAGTAAAATTTCATGCTCATAACCATACATGATCAGTGTTCTAAATGGCACGTGCCCAAAATACAAGTAGTGACTAATATATGTTGCTGCAAATACCACGAAAAAAATGACAATTATAGGCACTTCAAATGCTCGAAGAAGAATTAGGGTCGTTACTTACAAACTGAAAATATTCTTCATTCACAGGTGTTATAGCATGTTCATTTCTAAGAGTCAATCAAATCAACATTTATTAAAGATCCATTGTATATAATTTACTATGCTCTGATGATGGAAAATATGGCATTAAAAAAGTATGGTTACATGCAAACACAGAATCAAAATATATGTATGAGTGAGTATATTGTACTGAATATAGAAAAAGCATAATCTAGAAGGAGAACACTAGATTCAGAAAAATCAATACCTCCATGACTTAATAGGTTTTTCGGTTTTCTTCTCATTCTGTAAGAATTTATTAGGTGAGAAAAATAGCATAAAAACCTAGAAAGTTTTAATTTTGAAATCTTACATACTCAAAAGGAGACAAGTTGTCTTACAACAGTAGTTTTTGAATTCTTTTTTAGTTTCAAAATGGGTCACCTAACCAAATCTCATAGGAAACCACAATATATAAATGAGATAAACAAAGAGGTATTTAATTCATACAAATTTGCTTCGTAAGTGTAAGTTTTTAACATTTATTTGTTAGGCAAATAAATGAAGGGTTTTTTTATAAAGAGAAAAACATGAAATAGGGGATTATGGATGACAGTTACATTCTTCTATGAACCTCGGCGTCAGGTTCATTCCTGTATTTTGGAGTATTTTGACCCATACCAAGAAAATTCTGATTCCTACACACAAGTGGTTACAAACAGTAACTTTTAACATCTCCCTTGCAATCTAAGGGAGCAGAGACAGCCAGAGAAGCTTCATTCCATAGCCTGAACCAAAATTTAATAACCTATTAAGAGAAATTAACTCAACATCATTCTTCTCAACTACAATAACATTTCCAATAAAGTGTACTCGACAGTGCATATGGGCTTTTAAAAAAAATTACAGTATTTAAATCCAAATCAAACCTTTGAGAAACCCAAAGATCCCTCCACCCCCAGAATGTCCTAGGGTCTAGTAGAATCCAATCCCTACTTAAAGCCTGTCTTTAACAAAAGCCTGCCAGCAAGCACTGAGTTGGTATCAGTACTCAAAACACGGGTCACCAGGGTAGGTATAGCCCACAAACACCTCTTGGCAAACCTAGGATTCGAGTAAAGTGTGCCACCTGCAGACCTGCTGCCCTTTGGTCTCCTTCATTTCCTCCCAATGGTCTTGCTCCTCCCCTCCACTACTGTTTTGACCCAGAGCAATCCAACCAATCATCTCTTTACGCTTCATGGTACGCCTGTTATACATAGAAATCACCAACGTAACGTCAGAGAGCTGAAAGAGGGCCACCTGGAAAACAAAGGTCTCCTTATAGACAGGATTGGGCTGACCACGTCGGATGGATGTCTTGCAGCGGGACATCTCTTGACCCACAGAACTGAGAAGAAAGAGCTTTCCATATGTATCTGAGGAAACAATGGAAATGAGAAAACGTCAGTGCCTTCCGTTTTGCTAGTTTAATTGCAATATCTACACGGGCTGTACATTTTTCCTTTTTAACATACTGAACAGCATCTTTAGGCCCGGAACTTGCTGTAGGACTAACACATCTTACATGAGCTCTTCAGGAAAGGGATTACTACCTTTATGCTTAATGTTTCATGCGGCCCACCATGGGGCACCTTGCTGATGTTCATTAGAAGCTCTGTATGTGCAAGGGTATGTACATGCACAGGCACGTGTGCAATGGTATTTGTGGACATGCACAGTTCTTCATCCACATTTATGTAACTATAAATATACATTTTGCTCTATGTGCCTTTCTTTTCATTGTCAAAGGGCTGTTTATGCCTAAAGAGTCTCTTCTCATCTCATTCTCTACATATTCTTTGGACCATGTTATCCACTCAGTGACAACTACCAGATCTGTATCTCTGGCCTAGATTTCCCTCCCAAGCTCAAGATCTAACTGAATATCATACTTCTTCTTGTGGAAATCCCATCTCACACTCATCACGTCTCCAACTCTTAAAAACTTGCTGTTTTAGTACTCTCCAGCCCTGTGAATGGTAGCATCATCTGCTCAAGTACCCAAGTCAGAACTCAGGATGGCATTTTTGACTAGACTGGCTTCCTTACCCCTAGTCCAGTCAATCAACCACCAAGTTCTGTTGATTCTACCTCCTCAATAGCTCCCAAATCCACCCACTTCCTTGCATCCCAATGCCACTGAACTCTCAGTGTACACCATCAGCTCAGGTCACCAGCATTTCCCACCTGCATTACTGCATGTTTCTTCACTGATCTCCACTCACTGGATTGTCAGAGGGGTCTTTGTAAAATGCAGATCTGGTTGTGTCACTCTCCCTAATAAACACAGACTAAACCTTCAATACATCCCACTAGTCTCAGGATAAAAGCTAAATTTCTCGGTATAGACCACATACCCTGACACTTTTATCTTCCAGTTTCATTATGCACCACCGTTGCCTTTATACACTGCATCCCCACTACACTGAATACCTTATCCTTCCAACCCACTCTGCTGTCTCTCCCTTTCACTCCTGCATAAGCTATACATGCCCTGATATCCCGAATGATATCTACCTTCACACGACTTCTATTCATTAGTTTAGTTTGGATGTCACTTTATCCTGGAATCTTTGCTGACCACTTGCCCCCATGCTGACCATCTGTGGGCTCCATCAAAATCTAGTTTTAGCCTCTCTCAGCACTTATTACCCAGTATTTCCATTGCCTGCTTATTTGTCTGCAAAACTGTCAGTTCCCAGATGGGAGAAAGAGAGACTGCCCTGTTTACCACTGTACCGCGTGCCTGGGGTAATGCCTAACATGTGGTAGACACTCAGTAAATATTAAATATTTTGTAATGAATGTCTATGAGCAGCCAGGAGGCTCAACTTTCTTTTTTCTGTTGGACTTAAGTTTTCAAACTTGCAAACTGGAGCTAAACCCCTCATTTTATAACACCTGCACTAGAATGCCATGAGATGGTGACTAGCATCATAGGTTTAGTCATTTATAGAAAGTAAGTACTAACATCGTCTATTACTTTTACTAAAATTCCTGAATGGATAATTACAAAGAAAATTATATGCTAAGAAAATTCTATTTTTATTAAAATCATTTACCAATTTCTTGACTTACTCTTTTTTTTTTTTTTTTTTTTTCCCCTTTTTCCCGGTACGCGGGCCTCTCACTGTTGTGGCCTCTCCCATTGCGGAGCACACGCTCCGGACGTGCAGGCTCAGCTGCCATGGCTCACGGGCCCAGCCGCTCCACGGCATGTGGGATCTTCCCAGACCGGGGCACAAACCCGTGTCCCCTGCATCAGCAGGCGGACTCTCAACCACTGCGCCACCAGGGAAGCCCTCTTGACTTACTCTTAACTACAGTTTTTACCACTAATTTATGTGTCCTATCCTTTAAAAAAAAACCTACAAATTCCGGTGTTTCCCGAATTTTATCATTCTGTACATTCTGTTCAATGTAGGCTAAATGCTGATTAGTGTTTACTGCTCACTTTCCCACCTAACAACCAGTCAAACTTTTTAAAGTGTAAACCCAGAGCTCTGTAATTTACTGTTCTCTACAAGAGCATTGTAAGATAGGAAACAAATTACAACCAGCAGTTTTCTTTCTTTGTTGATCTTTTTCTATTCTGTTTTGATATGTTATTTTATGCAGTTATCTGCTGAGAAACACGAGGTGTGAAATTACACTTCAGGTGTGAAAAACACTTCTCTGTCTCAAAAACAGGGCTCTCCACTCTTCAAACTACTCTACGGAAAAAGCTGTCAGAAAACCAACAATGGGGGAGTGAACTTGTGTTTCTGCAGCTGGACAGCTACACAATTCCTGTAGGAAAAGTTCAATCCAGTTACCAAACTGGTCTGGCAATTCTGCTACCAGTTATGGCAGTGAAAATTGAATCAATCTTTCAGACAAAGACCTGCTCATTTCACAAAGAGAGCAATTTCCAGCTTTATCCTGTCAGAAGATCATTTTCTAATTATGAGAAAGGCTACTTACTCCCAAACCACCATCAGTGAAGCTGAATTGTACCTGTATGACAACAGGGGGAAATAATAAGTTTATAAACAATCCAGTCTGAGGACACCTGACCAGAAGAAGAGAAATGTTGCTGATCATTCCAGCTCAAAAGGGTACCTTTTACTGGCTGTAATAATGGGCTTACTTCTTAGTGACCCAGGGCTGTGCCCAGAAAATTCTACTTGTGAGGGATAGTGGGGAGTAAGGCTGGGGTCTTTGGGGGTTCAATGACTTAATCTGATGAGCACCAGTCAGAATGGAAGAGAAAGAGTCAAGTAAATATGCAACTTAAGTGAGCTCTGTTTTAATTCTTTGGAATTGATAATACTTGCTGCAGAGCACCACCGAGCAGCATTTTTTTTTTTATTAAAACAGAAAGTCATAAAAATTATAATCAGTTCACTCAGTCCCATGTAATTAATTTATTTTTCATGTTGATCATTTGTGAGCACCTTTATGAATTCATCAGTTTTCCATTAGAGTTCTGAAAATGCTTATTGATTCAGTTCAGCCGTATAGTCAGTTACCAGAAACCTGTGCTTGTCAGAGTCTTTTCCATGAATTCCTTGAAGGTGAAACCCTTTTATAGGAACATTTTTGCAAAAGCATGAGAGTACACCCAGAACTGTCTGTAAATGACAAAAGACTTAAAAATGACCATGGTTAAAGATTTGATGAAAGTTCATAATAATGCAATTGACAAGGAAATTTAGTTATTTCTGAGATATATATTTTAAAGTATTAACTAGAATTATTACTTATAACATTATACCAGGACATGTAAGATTTTCAGAAATTTCATGTAATATCTGAAACATTTATATTAACATATTTCCATACAAATAACCCAAAGAAAGTTTAGTATTAGTTGTTTTTTTGTTTGTTTGTTTATACTGCAGGTTCTTATTAGCCATCAATTTTATACACATCAGTGTATACATGTCAATCCCAATCGTCCAATTCAGCACACCACCATCTCCACCCCACGGCGGTTTTCCCCCCTTGGTGTCCATACATTTGTTCTCTACATCTGTGTCTCAACTTCTGCCCTGTAAACCGGTTCATCCATACCATTTTTCTAGGTTCCACATATATGCGTTAATATATGATATTTGTTTTTCTCTTTCTGACTTACTTCACTCTGTATGACAGTCTCTAGATCCATCCATGTCTCAACAAATGACTCAATTTCGTTCCTTTTTATGGCTAATATTTCATTGCATATATGTACCACAACTTCTTTATCCATTCATCTGTTGATGGGCATTTAGGTTGCTTCCATGACCTGGCTCTTGTAAATACTGCTGCAATGAATATTGGGGTGCATGTGTCTTTTTGAATTATGGTTTTCTCCAGGTATATGCCCAGTAGTGGGATCGCTGGGTCATACGGTAATTCTATTTTTAGTTTTCTAAGGAACCTCCATACTGTTCTCCATAGTGGCTGACTCAATTTACATTCCCACCAACAGTGCAAGAACGTTCCTTTTCTCCACACTATCTCCAGCATTTGTTGTCTATAGATTTTCTGATGAAGCCCATTCTAACTGGTGTGAGGTGATACCTCATTGTAGCTTTGATTTGCATTTCTCTAGTAATTAGTGATGTTGAGCAGCTTTTCATGGACTTCATGGCTATCTGTATGTCTTCTTTGGAGAAATGTCTATTTAGGTCTTCTGCCCATTTTTGGATTGGGTTGTTTGTTTTTTTAATATTGAGCTGGATGAGCTGTTAATATATTTTGGACATTAATCCTTTGTCCGTTGTTTCCTTTGCAAATATTTTCTCCCATTCTGAGGGTTGTCTTTTCATCTTCTTTATGGTTTCTTTTGCTATGCAAAAGCTTTGAAGTTTCATTAGGTCCCATTTGTTTATTTTTGTTTTTATTTCCATTACTCTAGGAGGTGGGTCATAAAAGAACTTCCTATGATTATGTCAAACAGTGTTCTTCCTATGATTTCCTCTAAGAGTTTTATAGTGTCCAGTCTTACATTTAGGTCTCTAATCCAGTTTGAGTTTATTTTTGTGTATGGTGTTAGGGAGTGTTCTAATTTCATTCTTTTACATGTAGCTGTCCAGTTTTCCCAGCACCACTTATTGAAGAGACTGTCTTTTCTCCATTGTATATCTTTGCCTCCTTTGTCATAGATTAGTGGGTCATAGGTGTGTGGGTTTATCTCTGGGCTTTCTATCTTCTTCCATTGATCTATCTTTCTGTTTTTGTGCCAGTACCATATTGTCGTGATTACTGTAGCTTTGTAGTATAGTCTGAAGTCAGAGAGACTATTTCCTCCAGCTCCGTGTTTTTCCCTCAAGACTGCTTTGGCTATTCGGGTCTTTTATGTCTCCATACAAATTTTAAGACTTTTTGTTCTAGTTCCATAAAAAAATGC